GTTGTAATATTGTCTGAAATTTGTAATAAAAAATTTTCTATTTTTTATGTAATTTCTAAATTTTGATAAAATTGAATAAACCACTGTATTATAATGATATAGTTTAGAACTGTCAGATTTAAATATATTTTTTGCTAACAGTTTATAATTATTTAAAAATTAAAAGCCTGTGCTTAGGCTGCTATAATTGATAATTGCATTCTCTTTCAGTTCAGTTATATATTTACATGCACACACATGCAAGTTGCTTTAAAATACTGGGAAAAAATGTTAAGGGTTGGTTGAACACCCAAATGAAGCACAAGATCAGCGAATATATAAATCACTATAGCTTTTGCAATCTTATGATTAGAAATATTAATATGCTGTTGCTTGAAGGTTGTTGGTTCATTAAAATGGAAAGATTTAATTTCTTAATGCTCAAAATGTCCTGTTTGAAGGCTAAAATTAACATCTAGTATAAGTGGGTTTTCTTTTAAAATGTGGGTTTCTTATAAGAGCTTTTAAATTTCATTTAAATAAACTGTGTTAGTATTTTATGGGAATCATCAAAATATTAAAACATTGTAGTTTGTGATACAATTAAATTTTTTTTTTTTTTTTTTTTTTTTTTTTGTAATTTGTGCATAAAATGTGAATGTATGTTTTTTGTGATTGAGTTAATTAGACCTAATTGTTAATGAGGTTTAGTAGATTGCTGCTTAATAAACCTAGCTGCTTGATCTTTTCTCTTGTTTTTAAAAATGGAGGAGATAACGAGTATATAGTTTGTTCAAAAATATTTTCTTTGCAACAATAGATAATAATGCTTTTTCCATAAATTTAATATACCACTTCATGAGTCTTAAATGTCAGTATTATTGTGTTATGATAAGTAAAGCATTAAAAATGTAATTACTCTAAGAGATTTTTTCATAATATTTGCATACAATAAACATATCTATGAATTTTGAGACACGTTAAAAAATTTAGATGAGAGTATAGAATTGTAGAAATAGATTTCTCAGCTACTATAAAACTGTGATTTTGTCCTGTATTCCCAAGCTAGCAAATGAAGGAATTTTTTTAAATGTAAATAGCTGAAGAAAGGAAATTTTTATTATAATTAGGATAATATTGTTTCACCTGGAAATTTCTGTGGTTTTTCAAATCAATCAAATCTGTGGTTTTTCTTATGTTTTTGTACATTTTCTTCTAATTATATTACTACTGATGGAGGAAAGAGCTTGATTGAAGCAGATATGTAAATGTGTAATAATTTTTTCTGCTCATGTTGCATAATTCTAGCATGTGTTGTGGTATAATTTTTTTTTTCAGTGCATTGCTAAGAATGGAGAACCCCAAAGTTAATTTTTGTCATGTCATGTTCTTTTATCAACGGGAGAAAATGGTCAAACTGCTTATAAAATTTGTGCTGATATGAACAAAGTGATGTTTCTTATTGCACTGTTTAAATGTGGTTTGAGAAGTAAAGGGGGGAGGATTTCAGTCTTGAAAATGATTCCTGTTTTGGACAACTATCTTTTCTAAAGAAAAATCTATTTAGGAGGGGGAAAAAAAAAAAAAAAAAAAAAAAAAAAAAACTGTTTCTAAAAGTCCACATTATACTATTCAGCAGACAGACTACATATTCCAAAATGTATAGTATATGATCATTTGAAGAAGATTGGATGTGTAAGTGGTTACAATGTATAGATACCTCGTACTTTAATGTAACAGAATGTGCTTGCTCGAATTTCAGCATTTGATTCTTTGTTGAAATGAAATAAACAAGCTCCTTTTTTGAAATGGCTTATTAAGGATGAGAAGTGGATGCTGTATAATTATCTTCTTAAAAAAAAAAAAAAAAAAAAAAAAAACTGTATGAGCCAACTGTATTGCTTTCTTTGTAACATTGAAATGGGAGCTGCATCCCCAAAAAATAATACTTTATGTATGGTAGGACTACAAAGAAATTGTATATTAAGAAATGTTGTCACCAAATCAGAAAATAAATTTAAAAAAGGATACTTTCCCAAATGGCAGTTATGCATAAATCAAAGGAAAACTGACCACTTGTTGAGGTGTCTTCTATAATGACAATGCTTAGCCCCACATTTTGATGAATGTCAAAGACTTAATGAATATGGCTGGGATGCTTTGTATCACCACCCCATATTCACTAGATTTTCACCTTTTGGATTTTAATCTCTTTAGGTCACTTCAAAATTCTTTGAATGGTCTGGAGTTCATTTCTTTGGAGACTGTGAAACAGCACCTCAGTAAGCATTGTTATGAATAAATCTAATAACTTTTTTAAAACAGAATTTTCTAGCTGCTGGAGAGATGGAAAATAGTCATAGAACAAAATGTTGCTTTTTTTTTTTTTTTATGTTTTTGTACTGCTTCAGTTGTATTATCAAAATACTGCAGAACTTAATTCTACTTACCATATGGTATTTCTATTAATAGAAAGGTCAGTGATACAAAATTTTGGATTATATTTTATTAGGCATACTTTGGCCATGTAAAAAAGCTGTTTTTTCTAAATTTGTATCAGCATAATCAAATGTTTGCCATTTGAGATTTTTTTATTAAAAATTGTACTTTATTGACCAATTGAATAACATGTAATTGCTTTGAGGAATGGCAAAAAGTCAGAGAACAAAATGGTGTTCATTTGACTCAGTGAAATTTTCTTATGTTTTTGTACACTTTCATTTGCACTTATAAGAAACTATAGAACTTTCCAGATGACTCAGTATTTAAATGAATTTAAAATTTGATAACATTAGATTAACATTATCTTATTCTTGCTGAGACATTTTGGTTTTTCGTAACATTTATGTGCAAAAGTTCTTTAGTTATTCAATCTAAACTTTTGTGTTAAGGAAAATGATGATTAAAAACAGTGTGTTGTAGCATGTCTTTTCTCAAAAGTATGTATATTTACTATTATTACCACACTGTATAATACATAGGTGATATAAAAGACTACATGTGATGAGACATTCATTGAACTTTGTTGCCATTATTAATACTCTCTCAGTATTGATATTTTAAGTGATAGGAGTTTCTTCAAGGACACTAATATTGTGAATTGTATATTGTGCACTAACACACTAATATTGTGCACTAACAGAATATTGAGTTTACTATAAAAGAAAAATTCTTGCATGGTATGCATTCTGTTTTAATATATATTTTCATGTTTTTTTATAAGATTTTGTGCAAAAGCACTTTATAATATGCTCTGAATTTTCTTCAATTTTAATGCATCGCTATCTGGGAAAAATGTATATGAATTTATTCATAATCTCTTGTGATTGATCAATTTTCAAAACATGTTAATACTGCTGATTATCTTAATTTCACTTTTCCCACATTCTGCATTTAAACTTCTCCTTTTGTAGTAATTGGCATTAATTGAGTTTTGATCTATGACATAAATTTCTGCATTTAACATTTTTATTTTTACAAGCAATCAGATTACTATATAATTTAGCCTTTGTGTTATTGTGAATATTTATTAAATAAAATTCTTTATTAATGAATTTCATTGCTTTTGAAATGACTAATACATTTTCCTTAAAAGCTGATATGTGGGGGTATGGTGTGCTGCTTGTTACTTATAATTTCTAGAATTGCTTCATGTGATAAAAGCAAAGTCTTCTGCTTGTGCTTATGTGAATTTTTATTAATGTACGTATTAAAAAGGTGCTTTAATACTTTAGTTTTGATTACCTAAAAATTAAGTCTTTTGAATATTTTGTGAAATAATCCGAGTTATTGGATTAATTGAGGTTTTAAAACATTAACAGTCAAATTTGATGGAGATGTAATTAGTTTTGTATTTTTGAAGACATAAATGAGTTTTTTTTTTTAAAGGTGGAATGAAATAAGTTTTTTTTTTTTAAGTGAAAATAATAAATACTGAGAAAACAATAACAGCTCTCCATCAATATTTTAAAAAATAATAAATAAAAAATCCATGTTTCTTTATTTTCATTTCAAGTCTCAAAAAGTAAATGTTCAGTTTTTTAAATATAATAAATTAGAATAACTTAATTGATGAGTAAATATAAAAATATAAATAAATTTATAATTCAAGTAAATATATGTATACATTTATATTGAAATTCTTTAAATACTTAAAGGTCTCAATTGCCTGTGTTTAAATTACTTTACGGATTTATTAAGTATAATTGAAATATGTTTTTTATTAAAGATATTAAATGTAGTTCGATAAATTTATTGAGATATAAATGCATTTTAGTTAATATAAAATTGTCCATATTTGAAAATGAACAGATTATAAACTTTTAACCTGAATTCAGAAGAATTTGGTTCCCCCCCTTTTGCAAGTTTATTTCATACTTCAAAATGTAAAAAAGGAAAATTTTAATGAATTAGAAATTTTTTATATTTTTACTTGATATTTAATCTTTTATTTAATTTTTTAGGGGGAGGTAATGAAATTAATTAATTTTGTGCTTATTTAACTTTTAATCAAGTAGTTTAATTAGAAGTTTCTCCCATGCATTTAATTAATTAAATTAATAAAATATAGACTAAAAGTAGAGAACAAAATATGTCCTATTTTATGTAAACCATCAGTAAATTTAAGATGTAATAATAACTTAAAAATTATAATAAAATTTCAGGTAATATTTAAGTTATAAATTTCTTGTGTAAAAGTAAGCTTGGTATGAGCCTGTTATGAGAGTTACTTTTGATCCATCTAATCAAAAGCACTAAAGAAGTATTTGGCTTTCATTTTTCATGTGTGATTATGCAATATTGCTAATATTGGAATAAAATTCTTAAAGCTGTAGAATTATTCATTGATATAAATATTAAAAATCTTGTTATTGATGTCAAATCATTTTGGAACTCTTGTTAAAATGATTATAAACAAACTTTGTTCTTAAAGTTGATTTGTAGATGTAAATATTTTAACATATGATTTTTTAAATTAAGGTTTTGGAATTTATATTAAGATTTTTATATTTTTCTTGCAGGATAAAGCCAGCTCTTTTGAGGCAAGCTACTTATGGAACAATAAAGATTGGCATTTATTACTCTTTAAAAAACTTAATAATAAAACATCCACATGGTAATTAATTTGAATTATTTTGCCTAATATCTGGATATTTAAAATATGTATAATAATTATTATCTATATATAAATAATTATTTTAGTAATAATATAGATTCTAAACTAATTTCTTAGTCTCTCAAAATAATGTTGCCTTTAATTTTCCTAGATGAGACTTTATTCAAGAGTGTTCTATGTGGCATTTCAGCTGGAGTTATAGCATCATCTATTGCTAATCCTACAGATGTACTTAAGGTATAAATTTATCATGTGTTTTTAAATGTCGCATAAAAATCTTTTAAAATTAGATATTTAAAAAATTTTTTGTTATATTGTTTCGATTAAAAAACTACATTGGACATTAAATAAAAGCTAAAATCTAATTTTCATTTTTTGAGAGCATTCATTTTTATCCTTGAATGAAAAATTGTCAAAGAAAAGTTTTCATTATAAAAACAGAAACAGCTTCAGGATTCTTTTCCTACTTAATTCATTTTATATATTTTATTTAATGTATATTCATTTTAGTTTCTGTTTAAATTAATTAGTAATAGCACTGCAAAAAACTAAATCACAACAAATTTATAAATAGGTAACATAAACAGAGGATTTTAAAAAATTATAGATCACACTTTTTATTATTGCTAACAAATTTTTATTTTTTAAAAATTTTAATAGAAAAGTTATGATCATGAAAATATATATAAAATTATTTTCTTAAAAATATTTCTGAAATTAATTAATTGGTTCATAGAAAAATTAAAACGAAGTTTGTGGAGGCATAAGGAATTGAAAACGGTATAATAGTGTAAAGCATTTAAAATGTAACCCTGAACTTTTTATAATAGCTGTATGCTTTACTGGAATGAAATATCTTTTTTAATTAAGAATTTTTTTTATCATTAAATTTTATTATTTTATAGTAAACTGAAGAATAATAGGGTTTTTGGTTTATAAGAATTATTTGATTTAAACTTTTTGACCAGTAAAGATTTTTTTTTTTTTTTTTTTTTTAATGGAGAGATTAATCTTAAAATGAATTTCTAATTGTCAAGTAATTCTTATATCAGTATATAAAAGTAGAAATTTGACAGTTATTAAAATAATACTAATTTTAATTAAAAATAAAATTAATGCATAATTTTTCATCAGTGTACTCATTATTTTTGCTGTTGTCTGATTTTGACTTTGGAAATGTAATAAATTAGGTATATACGTAAGATAGTAATCTAACTTTAATTTGTCATGTGTTTTTAATGTGTTATTGATACTTTCACCTTTCTATCCAAAAAATAGTAAAGTGCTTATAATAAATTTTCCTGAAACACGTCATTTTGCAATTAATCTCTGTTGTCTGAGTTTTATGCGATGCGAGTGACATATACTTTTACAGGGTATGGCAGAAAGAACTACGCAATTTGGGAGGGTCATAACTATGCTTCGGTTGGGGGTACAATGATTGGGAGCATATTGTCAAACAGTGAGTTTTGTTTTATTTTAGATTATAACATAACTTGATCAGGAGAAATTGTGCTTTCATTGTACAGCAGCTTATTCATAATGACAGATCTTCATCAGTATGCCTTCTGCAACCACTTTATGCCCCATTCATAAAAACTGTTCCAAATGGGGGAAAAAAAAAATTAACTGTTTGGTGTCTTACTTTAAAACTTTTGAAGTAGGCTATACAACAAAGAGTTGCCGCCAACGTAACTGTCAGAATCCTGGATAACTAACAACTATAGTATAAACAATCTAGTATAAACAATTCATAAACAATGAAGGTCACAACTTAAGTGATATTTTGTTTGAAGGAAGGGGAAAAAAATACATTTTCATACCTGCCAACTTTTACGAATTTTTCGTAGTTTTTACGAAAATGCGTTTGTCTGTACGATTTTATGATCGTAATCCATTTTTTTACAGTTTTTTCCCTTTTTCAAGTGTTTTTAGTGATTTTTGTCGAAATTTTAGAATTTTTCGCCAATTGCATCGTGTTTTATCGACAACTACCGACTACTTTGAATCCAGTAACCTGCGGTTTCTCCCAACTTGCCGCTTAACCAGCCAATCCAATGCACTGAACTTGTTTCTCCCACGCTTTTCTTTGTGGGCGCCAGATTATTTTTTTCGCATTCGCTTCAGCAGCAAGGGAATTACTCAGCTCGGACTCAGCAAGCATGGATTGTCGCATTCTTCTTTTCTTTTCTTTTCTTTTCTTTTTTTTTTTGCACGTCCTACAAATTTTCTTAATACGTCGTTGTTATGAAATGAGTTCAAATAAACCGTATTCTCAGTATTTTCGGCCTGCCTAAAAAGCCGAATTTCCAACAATTAAAGAATCCTTCAAAGGAAATAACTATGCATTTTGCAACGTGTGCATGTGTGACTTCATAATAAGTCACGGTGGAAGAAGCAACATTGTGAAGCATGTTAAGTCTAAAAACCTAAAGAAAACCTAAAGAATTTCCAAGAACTGTGCTCTGGTGAAATGAGAAAAATTCTGAAACATGTATGCACAAGATGGTTATCCTTAGGCAGAGCGCTAGGAAGGTTTATTGAACAGTGGGATGCATTGCTAAAATATTTCCACGAAGAGACCAAAACGAAACCACAGATCCCATCAAATTTGTCAGCATATAAGATTCCAAAAACCAACTTTGCTTCTAATCAAAATGCTTTAAAAGGGAAAAGCCAACACACAGAATCAAACGCTTTAAAAAGAAAATGCTTAGAAGACTCCTCAAGGTCAACTTTGTTAAAAAAGAAGTTGAAGGGAAGAAGAAACAGTCTTCTATTAGCCGGAGAGGAAAGGATTTTCTATCTTCTTTCTTCTTTGGATTTGAACAAAGCATATTGTAGTTTTGTGTTAAGTACCATTAAGATTTTTGAAAGTTTAAATACCCTTCTACAATCAGCTTTGCCAAAATCTGCCCTGCTTATCCAAATTCTTAATGATCTTTTGAAACAACTTTATAACTAAGTTTGTAAAAGCCATCCGTTGTGAAAAACAGTGTGTTGATTTTGTGTTGCCTATAATAGTTTGGCAAATCAAAAGGATGACAATGATCTTATAATTGGAAATCAAACCAGGAACTTGTAAATTCTTTTGAAAGATCATGAAAAAAAGAAATTTTTCAATGTGTTAGAAAGTACTTTCCTCAGCCTGTGATTACATTGTAAGGAAGTTTTCCTTTGCAAAATGAAGTTCTTTTAAATGCTGAAGTGGCAAATTTGAAACAAATTGAAAATTCATCTTTTGAAAAGATTCGTTTTTTTATTGATAAATTTCTATTTTTGTTAACAATTAAAGGAAATGAATGCTTTAGATGAACTACAGAACCAATTTTTTGCTGCACAATTGGAAGACTTTGCCAGTTCTGGAGAAGATAGACTTGATGTCCTCGTTGGTACCTTAAAAAGAATAAAAAGAGCTGATGGAACACCAAAATATGATAGACTAGCAAGAGTTTTATGTGCTGTTCTCGTAATTCCACACAGTAATGCTGAGTGCGAGAGAGTCTTCAGTGTTGTGAAAAAAAAACAAAATGTTTCGTTCTTCAATTTCACCAAAAACTCTAGAAAATATTTTAATTGCTAAATGTTATGAGGAAACTAATTGTTATGGCAGGAAATTTTCCAAAGAATTTTTGGCTAAAGCCAAAAAATGCACTCTAAATTCATTGCAATAATTTTTTTGTGTAACATTAAGTTCTTGTTTTATGTTTCCTAATAATTTTTTTAGTTACTACTTAATTGAGATTTACTAATGTAAGTACAATTTTCTTTTTTCTATTTGTATAAATTAATTTTTTAATATCAAAACATGATATTAATTCTTCATGTTCTTCTGAATTTTGGAGAAATCTTCTGAATTTTTATCTTTAGAGGTTGGCAGGTATGCATTGGTGTAAAATTGCATTATGTATACTTTCAAAGAATAAAAAGAAAAACTGGATTTTATTAGCTTCTGAAATTTGAATCTTCTACTTTGCATAACAGTAAAAATGAAGGTAAAGGCTTTCACAGAATGTAAATGTTACCTTTGTCAAAAGTCACCATTGAAGGTGGTTTTGGTGTGGTCACCACAAAGACAGCGGTTACTCCAGTAGAGTTAGATAAAGAGTACTATTTGTTAGGAAATAAAACTGCACAGTTGATAGAGCAAATTAGGAAACGACCAGTTCTCTTGAATGTTGTGGAGACTCATAGTCAGGCGCATGCGCGCAGGAGTTTAGAGAGAGTGAGTGCAGAAGACTTGGATTCCAGATCAGAAGAAGAGAAAGAAATAAAAATTGAAATAGTTGTGAATAATGAGCTTTTGGAAGAAAGGAAGTTAACTAGTAATACAGAGGAGGCCATTAAAATTTCAGACATCAGTTTAGAAGAAAGGTCTATATTTGAGGATGTTTCGCCAGCAGAATTCTCAGAAGCACAAGCAACTGAAACTCATGATAATGTTCAACACCAAATAAAATTTATTATATCACATACTGAAGGAGCACAAGATCTGCAGAATTCAATATTAAAAAAACCACTTCTATCAAGACGTTTTCTTCTGAGAAATTGCCTCCAAATAGCCTTGCTCTAAAAGTGATGTTCAATTATAATGCTGAATCAAATACATATGCTATATGGTGTGCAATGTATAAGGAGACATTACCAGCCATTGGCGAGTTTTCTTTGGGTGAACTGACAAAACATAAAGTCAGGAAAAAGAAATTGGGACCTTAACTAAAAAATATAGTTGAAATGTATTTTGCTTTTGCTGATCAAACACCTTACCCAATAGTATTCAAATAAAAACTTTAATAAACAGGTTGTAACAAAGTGATACTGTGCTCTTTTGTTGAGAATTTAAAGTAACTTCATCATTCTTAATCTATTATTTACCCATTAACCGCCAAAACTACAAGGAATGTTTCTTTTCTCATGAAAATAATAACAAATATTAAATTAAGCAATTTATAACATAAATTTACATTGAAAATTTAAAAAAATGCTCTTGTGGAAAAAGCGAGTGTTGCGTTCGCGCAACGTCAGCGGAATAAGACTGGATGTTTAGTGAGTAGGATTGTACTCATGTGATGTTTCTTTTGAGTGGAGCGCAGGATTACTTTTTAGCTGTATAATGTTTTATAAATCTACAAATCACTTTACTTGTAATTAATTTAATTTTAAAATATACATTGTATTTCTTTTACAAATATAGATTATTTCAACTGAAAGTTTCAAGCATAAAAAGCTTGATTACAATCATGATGTGAAGCTACATTACATACTTTGCATCTCTAAACAGTCTGGCTATGGTACTCTTTACAACAAAGTCTTTTGTTATCAATGAAGTTTACGATAAAATGTCTACCATCTCCATGCAATGGTTTTTGAATGCTGAATTTACTAGGTCTTCCGTTGCTGATCTATTTCTGGCTAATTCTACACTCTCAATAGGAGTTTGCAAAAGGAATAATGCATTCTCATGTCTGAAATCTAAAAGAGACTTTATATTTCCAGTAGTAAAAAGTGGTGATATTTAGTAAGTTTAGATACGGTCTCATCTCATATAATTTATCAGTATTGTCAAATGCAAATTCTGCTTCATATTCCTGTACTGCAAACGTGATATCGATTCTCTCGTACAACAGGAACAGAAATGTCCTTATCAAAAGACCAGTACATTTTTTCTTGAGGTAAAGAATGATATCCTGTAAGCAATAATATTCCAATAAATCTTCTCATATAGGCTTCAAATGCAATAAATTCTGGGCCTTTTTTTTTTTTTTTTCTTTTTCTTTCCTGAGTGGAGTGTATATATTTGTCTGTTCAACGAGAAGAGAGTAAATGTCTAAACCAAAATGAAAATCGAAAATCTGCGCACTAGTTTTACCTTGTATTTTGTCTTATAATTTCTCTTCTATCTCTTTCTTCATGTTCTTCCTGAGACATAACTAACAGCTCCTTTTTTTATCCACTTCAAGATTTCAGTCTTCTGCTTCTTAAACTTTTTAGTATGGCTGTAACTGCTTTTAGAAGGCTGAAACTTACTTCTTACGTGAATTTCAACTTCCCCAGCAGTATCATATGGTAAAATATCATTATCATTATTTAAAACATTGCCATTCCTTTCTTCTTTGTCACTAGCTTCTGCAATTTCTGGGGGAACAACAACAATATCGGTTTCATTCTGGTCATTATTAACATTATCATCATCTGTTTCTTCATCAAAATATCTTTGAAGGGCTTCTTCTAATGTAAGATACCTCGTTCTAAGCATTTTTAAATAACTAGAACATGAACCAGAACATCGAAAGGATGAGTGAAAAAGGAGATTGACTACCCGTTTCCTGCTGACGTTGCGTCATTGCAACACCTGATTTCCCTTTATTCCCAACACAAATATAAACATCTGACTGATGTAATGTTCTGATAAATGGTGACCTTGACTAAAAATAGATCACTCATAAAGACGGCAATTCTTTCATTAAATATTTTCAACAAAAATACCCGGTTGAAAATTTTGCTTAAATTTTGCTTAAAGTATGAGATTAATTATTATAAACAAAATGATTGTTGAAGGCAAATATTTTTTTACAGAAATAATATTCATAATATTCCCTACACAAAATCATCTGCTGGTATAAAATATTTTAGGTAGTTATATTTATATACCCATTTATTTTGACCGTTGCGTCAACGCAACACCAGCGGCTAATGGGTTAATAACATAATCTTTACTTTTCTTCTTATACCTGCCTACCGCTATCTTGCCAATATGTAATGTGCTGCCTCTATTTCCAGTTGTAAACCTTTGAATTTGTGAAACAAATTTGTAATTATGGAATAATGGCGCAGTCTCTTACATGCATATATATTTAATATGTGTTAATTAAAATGTGATATTTATATAATTGTTACATGAGAATTTGGTTTTGTAGTGGATATTTGTACGTGAAAGAGAGAGTTTGTGTATAAACTAACCAGTCTTTGAGTTTTCTTTAAGTTTAAATTGTATGTGAATATTTTCTGTAATTTGCTATTATATTTAAAAGCAATTAGTATTAAATTTTTTAATATTCTGCCCCCCAAATAGTAAATTTTGTTTGTAATTTATAGGTGCGTTTGCAAGCTCAAAACAAAGCTTACTCACAGAAGGGTATGTTCCGCTGCTTCCTTGACATCTATTGTACTGAAGGTGTTAAAGGTTTATGGCGGGTGAGTATGTTTCGTGATTTTCCATCCTTTTTTGTGTATTTGTTTGAATTTTTTAAAATGAAAATGTTTTGTTAGAATATTTTTCTTTACATGTAGCTCTGCAACAATCTTCTTAGAATTATATATTTTATTCCTAGAATTATGTACTTTATCTCTTTTTTAGATTTTATAAATTTTTCAAGAATTTTAATATTGATGCTATTAATTTATTATCTTATTTGAGTTTTATACATTCTATCTGAGTCATTGATCAATTAATATAAATACAGTCAAAAGTCGTTAATCCGGACTCGTCGGGACTTCGGCGATTCCGGATTATCGATTTTTCCGGATTATAGATCATCAGTTTAAATCTCGTAAGATGGCATGCAGAAATTCTAAAATTAAAAATATGAAAACGTAATTTATGAAATAAAGAACAATTATGATCTAAAGGGTATCAAAATTTGCAAAAAGAAAAAGCTTAATATTTATTTGTTTACATTATGAAACATTTCTTTCAATGTAAGTTGTTTAAGTTTTGCTTCGTTTCATGTGATAATACTTTCTCTTTAATTCTATTAAACAGACATAATTTCTTGTTCAGTTACAAAGTTCCGCTGTTCAAGTCCTATAATTGCTGTGTCTAGAACACCGATTAATTTGTCAATCGAAATTTTTTCGTTTTCAATAACCTCTGTCACTTTCTTCGCTATCGAAAGCGAATTATAATGACGAGGAACTTGTTTTAAATCATATCAAAGACGGAGCATATCGAGATGAAATACTACATTTGGTAAGGAATTATAAGCCAAATAAAATAAAAAATCTGCGCTGAAGATAAGGATAGTGTTGACAGATCAACTTCCAATTCATTACGGCGATCCTCCCCGCCGAGCAGCGTGAAATTGATAAACAGATTTCGGATTTCAAAACATACTTTCGCTTTAGATCCTTTACATATTAACAAATATATATCGGAAATTCTATTTGATATAATCGAAAGTTTAAGCTTACTTTTATAAAATTGCTCTTACAGTCTGCAAAAAATAATAAGCCGGATCCAATTCGAAAATTAAGGAACCACGCAATCCAACATTAACTGAAATAGATAATTAGATAATTTTAGCTTATACGTCCATTATACATAAAACGCGCACGCGAAAACGTATTCTGCACTTGCGCACACTCATATGCGCAGTCGTAAAAGGTCTTACGTGCATGCGTAAACGCCTATGCGCATGTGTCAATGCGGCGCATGCGCAGAAAGTTTTTAGTTTTGAGGTCCGGATTATAGATCATTCCGAATTATGGGTGTCCGAATTAACGACTTTTGACTGTACCAGTTTCTTATTATAGTTAAATAATAAATATAGAACTTGTTACAGAAAACTCATTTCACAAGACATGAATAAATTCAATAATATTTTACCTTTAATTCGCCAACCTCAAACTAGTATTCAAATCAAATCCTAGTATTCACTGATTGCATTAATAGGGTACAGAAAAATTTATGCAGCGATTATGGAGTGGCATTTTTAAGAGAAGCTAATTTAAGGTTGGTGTTAGTTTTCTTAACTTTAATTTGCATTAAAAATTAAGAGTTGGAAATTTTGACATGTATAAATCTTCCACATTTCTTGTTACTTAACATAAGTCAAATGTATATAATTTTATTTATTTTATTAGGGTGTTTGCCCAACTGCGCAGAGAGCTGCTGTATGTGCTGGTGTCGAACTTCCAGTGTATGATATAACCAAAAAGAATCTCATTTTATCTGGTACTATGGATGATAGTGTTTTAAATCATTTTGTGTAAGTATATCAGAAAGCAGGTTATCGTTTTTTTTGTCATTGTTTTTCTGCTGATTCTTTTGAGTTTCATAAGAATAATTGTGATTGTTCTTTGTAGATCTAGTTTTACTGCAGGTCTAGCTGGTGCTATTGCATCTACACCTATTGATGTTGTAAGGGTACGTAATGTTTTTTTAGTCTGCATTGATACAGTATAATTCTACAGAAAAAGTGTTATTATCTGTGAATCAATAGAGTAGTAATTTTACCTTAGTGAGAATTTCCTTTGGGGGGTGTGAATTTTAGTGAATTTTTTTAATATTAGATATTTTTTTGTTAAATTCATGTATTGGACATCTTACGATGACTTTCAAATTTCTATTACAATTATTAATTTACTATTATTTCTATGTTTGTGAACATTTAGACAAAACAAGTATAAAGCAAAACAATCTTATTCTAAAATCCAAACGAAAATTAGAACTATCTTTCAAAATTTCAGGTTTCAGACCAGTTATAGCATTATATAGTAGATTTCTTGAATAAAGCTCATTTTCTTAAGCATTATAGTTAGTCTATTACATGTAAATATTCCAATTCACATAAAAGAATGAGTCTAGAATGATCCTTTTTTGGAATATAAAACAATGGTAAAAATGACTTTCATTAAAGAAAAATTCTCTGTGTATAATGTAGCAAAATATTACTCAGAAAATTTACTTTGAAATCATCTTGCTGAATAACCTTAATATTGCCAGAATATGGTTTATAAATAACTAGTTAAATATGGTATATAATATTTTACATAGTTCATTAAATGCTAATACTTGGGATTTTTGTTTCATATTGTGTAACCCAAACCCTTTAAGTTGTTGACTACAAAATATCAGGATTTTCTAGCAAATTTCACCTTCCTCTTTTTCCAGCTTTTGGGAAAAATTTATTGTGTGTATTAATTCTATGTGACATATTGTATAATCAAATTTGTTCAGTGTTCATAGTTTATCACGTATAATGAGCATTTTGAGCAAAATATTTTATGATTTTTCTTGCCTTAAATTTTTAATAAAGTGTTAATGTTTTCATTACATCAGTTTTGCATTTTTATCAAAAAGAAATTGAGACTTATCTTGCATAAAATACTTACTGAAAAGCTCTTGTGCAAATGAAAAAAATGTACTTGAAAAATTAAGTCTTCTTCCTCCCAATTAAATGAATAGGACTGTGATGGAATGATCCCATAGTAAGTTTTTTATGAACTGTTTGGCATTGCTATTTTTAATAATTTATTTTAACACGTTGAGTGCCACGCGTATTTCTTAGGCAATCCCGTTCAGACCACGCGCACCGCTTAAAAGTGCTGGTATTGTAGGGCCAGGGATTCTTATACAGTAGAAGAGAGTTTACGTTTGGAATGTGATTCCTATAAGCATTCATTAAACACGCTGTGTGCCAAGTCTGTTTTGTAAATAGTTGCATTCTATACAAAGATATTACGAAGCAGAAAATTAACTGAATTTCGGAAAGAAATAGCGCTATCCCTTACAAGTTGTGAAAAAAGAAGACATTCCATTGAACAGAAATGCAAGAATATCTAAAAAATAACAACATAAATTCCAAAGAAAACCGGGAGAAGCCTCTGAAATACAAAAATATTGTAAATTATGTTATAATAAAAATGCAACAGAAGGTGGTAGAGTAATGGCCAAAAAAGAAAAAGAGACCGTTTTTATGTGTACCATATTTCAATGAAATCAATTAGTCCTGTAATGAACCAAAATTAAGTAAATTTTAAATAAATTTTCTGTAAGTCCATAAAACAGTGAAAATTTTGTAGTTATATATCATGTTACACGCTGTCAGCCAGCCTAAATGGAAAGTCTAGTGTCAGCCACAGATGGCTGACTGGGCGCTCAATGTGTTAAAGATGACTTTATGTTCAGTATGTAGAATTTCTGGGGATTAGTTCTTAAATTAGTAAGCTTATTGCAGCTGTTTCAGGTATTAAATTGGAATCCGAATGTAAAGATCAAATTGTAATGGTAATCTTTGATGTGCTAAATTTTAATTTAGAATTTTTAGATTATCTCCCTGCTCTTAATTTCAATCTATCATTGTTATTTTCTATTTCAGACAAGGTTGATGAACCAAAAGAGATTAAGAACTGCTGTTGTTGGAGCTGCTCCTGTCCAAGTCATTTATACTGGTTCCTTCCACTGTGCTGTTCATGTGAGCTTGTGTTTTTAAACGCTTATCGTTCAAAATGAATTTGAGTTGAATTTGAAAAATCGTATTTTCATTGAGGCAAAATCAGCCAAGAAAGTGTACAACGTTTTAGTCCAAAAACTGTTTATCGTTTATTCGCATTGACAGTAAATAAACTGTCATTTATCTGTAGCAAATTCCACAGCCATAAACATGCTTCAGAAAGTTCTGAAATTTTTTAACATCTTAATAAAGTAATGAGAAATTAAAAGCGAAACTCCTAATTTTATTGCTAGATGGCACTTCCTTATGTGAAATGCATGCAGCATATGTATTAATTTTCACATCATGGTCTGTCTGCTTGCTCATGTATCTCACACTGGCTGATGGCTCATGTGGATGGTTGTTTAAGCACTGCTGTGAGCCAAGGCCTAAGGGTGCTTTGCCATAATCTTATGAATCCATTACACTTACCTAAAATAATAGTATGGTGCATATGTCTCCACCATTCTTTCTTGAAAAGTTCACTTCCATTAGTTTTGTGACATGCTCTGTTTTGGGGAAGAGAAGTGCATTGTTGTTGGAAAATTTCGTCATTTGGGTAGCATATGCACAGTAGTGCCTTGGAACAGTAGTTTTTATTCAGGATGATACTGCTGCATGTGTAACCATTTTCAAGCCATTTTCCTAATGTTTGATATCTTGATTCCGAGACCAGAATCTAGATGATGCTTGGCTCTGCAGCTGTCTTCAAAGACCTGGTTCATCATAACAGTGTAACATCTTTTCTCAATCAAAAAAGTAACATATTTCCACTAAGCATGGAGCATTTCAAGGCAATCATTATGCTTGATTGTTGAACATGGTATTTTAAGAACTAATAATAATGGTCTTTGCACTGTATATATAAATTTTTACTGATTATGCTAGTCATTGCTGTAGTTTAATTCAAATTGAGAATAAAGCAGAAAAGTGACTGCAGTGGAGAGTTAAAAATTATTTCCCATCTCTGCATTAAGGTGCTCATAACATTCCATACCTTCCTGATAGATAAATATTAACTGCTGTACAGAGCTCAGAACAGGTGAACTTCAATTATAGATATATTCTCCATATTAATATTTACAGTGTATAATAGTTTCTGGGCATAATTGTTTCCTTGTATTTATCATCTTTTTTTCTTTCACGTCATTGAAAATTTATAGTTCAAGGTTCCATTTTAATTAATAGATTTTGAATAATATAGTAGTTGTTTAAATGCTTTTTTTGTATCGCATACTTGGGATATTTTAATTATACTATGATATACGAATCTTTAATATAATACATACGTGCATTTGTATTATATTTATTTCAAATTTAATATCATTAGAAGTTTCTACAATATTTAAAGTTATTATTTTAATTGTAATATTTAATAGGTATATATGTATTAATTTTCTAGGTTTAGTTACAGGTAAAAAAGTTAAAAAATGCTTAAATTTTGATTTAAAAATATTTCTTATTTTCAATTATTAAAATGTTTTTTAATCTTGTTAAGATGGAAACATTTATTTTGATATAGATTTCAAAATCTTAACCAGTTTATATGTATAATTCTTAATGCTGCGCGCGGTAAAGTCGCTGAATGCTGGTAGTTCGGTCCGAGATTCGAATCCCACGAACGGGCTGGCTGCATGGGTGTTTTTGTTGTTTTCCCCATGTGTAACATGTATACGAGCCAGTTTCCTTTAGAAAGTCTTCCACGAAGGCATCCCTCCCCTTAAGCAGATAACCCTTGAGGTTTTGCTGTAATTAATTAACCTAACCTAACCTTAATGCTGCTGATAAAGATTTTGGCATATTTAAGATTGTGATTTGAATTTTGGAGCATTGGCTGAATTGTTTAAAAATGCGAGAGTGCACTCGGATTGTTTGCTTGCATAGAGAGATGTCTTTATGATGGATTTCCCACAGGTGAAAGACCAGCCAATGTTTTGTGGCTTTATCCACTCGATCATTGGTTGGTGAATTTTTTAGCAATATCTTATTTCAGATTTTTGTAAAAGCATTGACAGTTACATTATTTTTTTTAAATCTTTCACTATAAAATATGGGAGACTTGCAGCATGCTTAAATTTTGACTTTTATCTTTAACATAAGACTAAACTAACAGTATATCAACACATTGTAATATAAATATATAATTTTATATTGAAAAATTCTTGCAGTTAATACCTAATATTACTCACAATAATAATTAAGATCTTTCAAAGTCTTACTATTCCATAATAAAAAGTATAAAAACTGTTGATCAGTTTGAGATTTTTTTAAATCTGGCCCCTAATCTAAAATGTCATTTTAAGGTAATTACTGTTGTGTTTGTCTCTTTCCCCTTGTATCCAGGATGCAAATAAGATCATTAAATGTTTGTAACTCATCCCAGTTCAAATCCCAGTGAATTCGTTAGATGTATAGCTTTCCTCTCATGTAATGTAAATATGAGTCAGTTTATACATGGTGTTCCTTTCCTTATACAAATAGCCTTTGCATTAATCAATCTAACCTAATTTCACAATAACATAACAGCATAAAATATAGCGCTTTTTTAATGGTAGCAGAATAATGCATAAAGGTGGTTAACATTTCTAAGCCAAGTCACCATTACAAGTCTCGTCTTAGTAACTAACATACCTATCTATAGTAACTAACATACCTATCTATAAAACTTCACAATTTTTAATTATTACATTCAAAAGATGAGATGTCTATATATAAGTTATTTGATAAGATGAGAAATTTTTTTTTTAATAGAAACTCTGTTTCGTAGCAGCAAATAAGAGAAAAATCAAAATTAAATTGACAGAATACTTGTTAATGTATTAAATTTATTTATTTTTGGCTTATTTTTACAATCTATTGAAATAAGCTGATATTTTCATTGTGTGAAAAATTTCTCCATATATTTATATTTCATAGGTTTTTTTTATTTTTATTTTTATTTTTATTTCAGACCATTCAAACAGAAGGGATCCTAGCACTTTATAAAGGTTTTGTCCCTACATGGGTGAGGTTAGGACCTTGGAATATTATAGTATCCTTTTTTTGGACTGCTCTGTATAAAATTGCATGTTATCATTGCTTATATAAAGTTGCTTCAAGGTTATGTTATTATTTAATGTGGAATTGCTCTTAATCACTTTTATTGACTTTTAAACCAATTTATACAAGCATAGCTTACTGAAGGAGTCCACTCAGTGTTTAATATTCTAACGTTGTGAACTTAATGACTAAATTCTTGCAATTTTTAAACATTAGTGCCATTTCAATGTAGGTCTTTGAAATCTTCAAACTTTTAGAAGAAAGAACCAAATATATCATGAGTTTAAAGAAATGTTTATATCTTTTTCAATTTTTCATGTTCTCCATTGTTATGCCCTATAAGTATTTCGTTTCATGAATAATTAGATCTTTAATTTACCATTTGCTAATCTTGGCAATAATCATTCAACAAGACTTGAGTATTATTAATTAAAAAATATATACTCTTAGCTAGTTAAGCAGTATATTATATACATCTTAGTAATTGATATATTTGTTTTATTTTTTACAATTTCTAATTGATATATTTTTATAATGGATCTAATCGATATGATTTATAATTTTTTAGAAAAATTTTATTATTGAAATAATAATAAAGTTGTTTTTAACTCTGTTTCCTGACAGCAAGTTTTTCATTGAAATTAGGCTTCGAGTATTTAAATTCCTATAATATTTTAATATTTACAGCATTTTTTGTTTTGTGATTAAATTACTGAGTAACATGGAATAAAAACTTTAAAAATTCCACCTGAATGCACTAATATAGTTTCTCATATTTCTATATATTATTTTAATAAGGTTTATGCAAAGTTTAAATTTAAAAAGGTTAAAACTTTACTGTAATTTATACTGTAATTTAATGAAAATTTAATACTGATTTATTCGAAACGTGTTCTTCTATTGAGAGAAGTCACAATAGGGTGAAATTTGAAAATAGTATCTGATTTGAACTATCTTAAGGAATCTGAATTGATGTTGATTATTTAAAAAATTTTTCTTGAGTTCCTTTCATTTTGCATTTAATCTAGTGTAAATTTAATGATAAAAAGAGAAGAACCCAGAGCTTCTATATCTTTTTTTCCTTTGTTATTTTTAAAATTAAAATTTGCAGTTTTCCACTCCTCGTTCCGCATCTGAAAATCAGAACTGAAAAACCAAAATAAATTAAATTATTCCACTTTTCATATGTACCAAATAAAATAATTTTTTATAGGAAGAAATGTATAAAAACTGTTAATTTCAATTATATTAGTAATATATTTTTGTGCAATTTAGTAAAAAATGCTTGCTTGTGTTTATGCAAAATGTTATTTTGCAACAAGTTATTCCTTTCCATTTATTTCCCTTAACTGGTTTTTAGTTTTTTATAATATATGAACAGATGAAGCGTTTGTATTAAAAGCAGCATCAAGAAAAAAATTATATCTAATTAACTTATAGAACTGATAAAAATTATAATCATATGGCACCTGCTTAATTCTATCCATCCTTTCCCATTGCCATTTTTCACCCATGGAGAGTTTTACATTTGAAGTATTAGGTATTGTTCAAATGCTTAGATGACTGTAGAAGTCAAACTTCATTTTATTTATTTTGTTTTATTTCAAAAAGCTCTATTTTCAGAGAATTTTCTGAAAGTTTATATATTTGTACATATATCTTGTTTTCTTGTTCTCCAAATGTTATACAGTTTCACGAAAAAAAAATAAAATTTTACTTCTATCTCCTGTTGTTATTCAATACAAATTTATATCTTATGAAATATCAACGAGCACAGAATCAACTTTTCGAAGAAGACAGAGTATGGGAAATGTACTTAACTGCAAATGCTTTCTTAGAGTTATTACAATTTAAGTATATGTTACATACAAACGTTACTTAAGCAGATTTAATCATGTATCTAATAAAGCTGAATAAAAAATTTAGAAAACAATACATTAAAACATATAGTTTTAAAGCACTATAAGTGCTGAAGAATTCCAGATTCTTCATAGTTAAATCTCTGAAAAGTCAAAACTTTGAGTTTAAATTTCACTCAGCCATTTTCATAAAATATTGTTACGAATTTGGTATTTAAAAAGCAAATGTTAGTTCAATTATAAATTAAATGGTTTTATTTCTCGCGCAGTGCAGCGCGTGACGAATATTAAAAGAAAGCTAAGCCGGAAAATTGAAAATACAAGAGCGCGTGCATTAAATAAATAAATATCTCTTTTTGATTTCGAGAAAGTACTGGAAAATTCTAGCGCGTGATTTTAAAATCTTATAAAAGGAGGAAAACATCTCAGTTCGTAGTAGTTGCTTAGTTTGTTGTTGTTTAGAAAACTGCTGTTGTTGATTGTAGCGAATTCGCGGATTAGCGTTCTTTAGCTGTTTTGAATTACGTTCTATTGGACATTTGAGTAGTTAAAAGATAACTACTGTGAGATATTGTAATACTGCATGATAATTTGAGAAAATTTAAGCATTTTTGTTGTGATAATAATAAATTTTTGTTCATTTTTCATCGGACTTGTGCATTCATTTCATAACGAACCGTACGCACGCAACAATTTTTGGTGTCAGAAGTGGGATTTGAATGCCAATAACAAGAGCGATGGAAGAGCAATTAAGGCAATTGATAACAGCCTTTGCCTCGTTTAAAGAAGAAATGAAAAGAAAGATTGAAATCTAGCCAAGGAAAGATGGAAGGGGCCGTCAACTCTGTTAAGGACGAAGTGAAAAAGCCGTTCAAGCTGGTCAAGAAAAGATTGAAGCAGGTCAAGACGAAATGAAAAGAGAAATTACCTGCATAATAGAAATAAATTTCGAAGCTATGGAAGGCAGAATTGACACAGTTGAAAATAAAGTTGGACAAATTGAAGAAAGAGTTTCTTCGGTGAAAGAAGAAATAGAAGAAAGAGTTTCTTCTGTAAAAGAACATAGATAGGGGAGAGTTTCTGCTGTGGAGGAACGAATTGAAGGAAGAGTTTGTTGCCGTCCAACACCAAATCGAACAACAAATTGATGAGAGAGTTTCTGCCGTTGCCAAAGAAATGGACACTTTAAAGAAATTCGTAGCGAACGGCAGGGAGCAGGAGTGATGATTTTAAATTCTTACCGATGCCTGCTCGTCCATCTCTGAAGCTATCCACATATGATGGGAAGACCTCCTGGCAAGTGTATAAGACACAATTTTCTATCGTTTGGCGGATGCGAATGGATGGGATTCCCAAAGCTAAGGCCTGTCATCTCGCCGCTTCTCTGAGAGCAGACGCAGCGGATATCCTTCAGACGCTTCCCCGAAAACCAAAGACTTAGATTTCGAAGCTCTGTCCGGCGCCTTGGAGTTGCGCTTTGGGGAGAATGTTTAAAAGACTACAGCAGGCTTCCAATTAAAATCCTCGTCAACAGAAGCCCACCGAAACACTTCAGGAAGCTCGCCACGGATGTTGAAAAGGCTGTCCCATCTCGCCTTTTTCGGAGTGCCCGACAGAAACGAGGGAAATCCTGTCCCTTGCAATACTTTATCGATGGCATCCGGGATCCCTGAAATACAGAAAGCTCTACGAATGGCGGATGTTAAAAGATTTAAAAAGTGCTTTAGTGTACGCCATGAAATTTGAGGCAGCCCAGCAAGCCACTCGTCGAGACCGCCACCCGTCAGAGCTGCTCAAGTCCAGGAGCCAGAGGATCAAGTCACTGCTCGTCTAGACGATTTAACTAGACAACTCAACGCCTTGAGACGGAATATTGGTGATAAGAAACCGACCGTTAAGTGCTGGAACTGCGGTGCTGAAGGACACATACGACGAAACTGCAGAACACCCCAGGGCACGGATGTTAAGACCGCTCTTCTAACAAGCAGCAGGGAAACTAATTAGTGGCCATCTCGCGGGGCGGAGGTTGCCAGATAATGAAAAGCCCCAGTATAAAGCGCTTAAGATTTCTGTAGTGAGAGGTGGCAGTAATGGACTTTGCATAATAGGACATATCAATGGAGTTCCCATTCTATATGACGATAGATACAGGAGCCAACGTTACCATCATCCAAAAAGATTTGGCTCAACAACTGGGAAGCAAACTTATCTGGACGCCGCCCTGCGTTACCCTCCAGACTGTGTCCGGTGAGAAGATCGACATCGACGGGGAAAAGTAAATGTTAATATCACGTTTGGAAGTGCCGCTTACCATCACACGGCATATGTAGCAGAGATCACAGATTCTTGCATACTCGGATTGGACTTTCTAAGGAAATACAATTTTTCCTTGAACTTTAAAAATAACGAATTGCATTCTACGTCTGAGGACATAAGCGTTATTTGGAATTAATGATGAAGAAGTTAAATCTGTCCATAAAATCATAGCACAAGACAATATCACAATACCGGCAAGAACAGAAATTTTACTTGCTGGATCCATAGCCGAAAACAGAAATTTCCGCTACGGCATCATAGAATATCCCAATAACTGTAATACCCCGAAAGGAGTACTAGTAGCCTCAACACTCGTCGACCTATCCAGAACGGTTATCCCGGTGAGAGTTCGCCAATGTAACTGAGAAGGCGAGAGTTATTAAGAAAGGCGAAGTGGTTGCAACATGTACTCCAGTAACCAGCGTTGAAAGAAAGAGCAACATCCCAGAACCCGTGTCCTCAGAGAGCATTACATCGGAGTTATTGCAGAATGCGCAATTAAACGATGAAGAGAAGAATGCTGCCGATCGCGTCATTAAAGATCTTCAAGTTGTTTTCTCCCGCTCGTCTTCTGACGTGGGTCGAACTAGTTTGACGCAACATAGAATAGATACAGGCGATCATCCCCCGATCAAGCAACATCCAAGACGTCTACCGTTTGCTAAACAGGAAGAGGTGCGAACACTGTTAAAGGATATGGAAGAAGGCGATGTCATCGTGTCTTCAGCAAGTCCATGGGCATCTCATGTCTCTTTCTTGTCAGAAAGAAAGACGGCTCAACAAGATTTTGCGTTGACTATCGCCGGTTGAATGAGGTTACGAAGAAAGACAGTTACCTTCTTCCTAGAATTGACGACATTTCTAGACACTCTTTCTGGAAGCAAGTGGTTCTCAACACTTGATTTAAAGAGTGGGTATTGGCAGGTAGAAATACACCCTGATGACCGAGAAAAGACGGCATTTACTACGGGACAAGGGCTTTGGCAATTCAAGGTGATGCCGTTTGGACTGTGTAATGCGCCGGCAACATTCGAACGTCTTATGGAGACTGTTTTGAAAGGCCTTTCCTACGAAGCCTGTCTGATATACCTGGACGACATCATCATCGTCGGAAAGAGTTTTGAAGAAACATTCTAGAAAATCTTAAGAAAGGTGCTTCAGAAACTGAAAAGAAGCCAATCTGAAGCTGAGTCCCGCTAAATGCAAATTGTTTCGAAAGGAAGTGACTTACCTGGGACATGTCATCTCTGCAGAAGGTGTGCGCACGGATCCTGAAAAGGTATCAGCGGTTAAATCCTGGAAACGTCCCGAAAATGTCCATCAGCTGAGAAGCTTCCTAGGGCTTTGCACCTACTATAGGAGATTCGTGAAGGACTTTTCTTCCATCGCAAGACCCCTTCACAAGCTGACAGAGAGCAAGCAAACGTTCTTGTGGACAAAAGAATGCGAGGATGTATTTAACAACTTAAAGGAAGCTTTAACATCTGCTCCAATCCTGACGTATCCTCAGCTCGACAGACCATTTATTCTCGACACCGACGCGAGCAATGACAGTGTCGGTGCGGTTTTGTCCCAAGAAATAGACGGCCAAGAACGTGTAGTAGCGTACTGGAGCAAGTGCCTGGTCTAAACCGGAGAGGAATTACTGTGTCACCAGGAAAGAGTTGCTCGCCATAGTCAAAGCTGTAGAACATTTCCATCATTATCTATACGGCAGAAAATTCCTCCTCCGCACGGACCATGCATCATTAGCCTGGCTTTTAAATTTTCAAGAATCCTGAGGGTCAAATAGCCAGGTGGATACAGAGACTCCAAGAATATGACATCACTATCCGTCATCGTAAGGGATCATCATCACACGGGAAACGCCGACGCCCTGTCTAGAAGACCTTGCCAAGGAAAGCTGCCGATATTGTTCCAGGGTGGAAGCGAAATACGAGCTGCTGACTCCGGTCGCAAGACAAATTACAACATCAACATCGGCTGATCGAGACCCGTGGAGTGATGATGAAGTCAGGAAAGACCAGCTGGAAGACCGCGACATTAAACCCATACTTGATTTAATAGAGTCATCAAACAGAAAACCTACATGGCAGGACATTTCTATCTGTAGTCCTACAACAACAAAACAATACTGGGCACTCTGGGATTCACTTCACATTCGAAACGGCGTCTTATACCGGAAATTCGAGTCGGATGATGGGAAGACGTTCCGATGGCAACTGATACTTCCAAGATCCCGGATTCCTGATGTCCTCAAAGAACTACATAACAGCCCTACAGGAGGTCACTTTGGAATTATGAAGACCTTACAGAGAGTTCGTGAGCGCTTTTACTGGAATAATGCAAAGAATGACGTGCAAAAGTGGTGCCGATCTTGCGATGCCTGTGCAGGTCGGAAAGGACCGAGGAAACGCAGCCGAGGCAGACTGCAACGTTACAACATAGGTGCGCCTTTTGAACGTATCGCCTTTGACATCCTGGGACCTCTGCCACGAACTGCTGATGGCAACAAATACATACTCGTTGTCATTGATTACTTCACCAA